TATATTATTTGGGCATAAAATATTAAAAATTATTTTGAAAAATACCTAGTGTACACACCGCTTTACAATGACACCTGTCAAAAGCTTATCATAGACAATGTACGCATGACTTCGCTTTTATGCGTGACAAACTTTTATTTTTTTGAAGGTTGGTAACATTCTAAATACTGTCACAAAAAAGGGATGACAACTTAAATACTTGTACAACAAAAAAAAACAAAAAAATCGATATCTTTATCGCTTTTATTTGTTCACTATTTGATTATTGTAAAGTTTTTGGAATTCGCTAAAGCGTTAATGCATTTTTCGATTCCGATCATGTTTTCAACCTTGTTGGTATTTGGTGTTATTTAAATTTTATCATCAAATTTAAATTTATCTATATTACACAGTTAATAAAATTAGAATGTCTGTATGTAATATAAAAAAATCATATTCTGTGAACATGATGTATTTGTGTTCTAATTACGATTTTTATTTGTCTGTCCACAAGTCCGCTTCTGTTTCTAGGCTGCTGAACCGACTTTGTAGAGACCTTTCTGTAATGTAGTTTAAATATGCCAGAATAATATATACAGTCGCGAGCTATTAGCTAGTTTAAAAAAATAAATCACGCAGTGCATACAAAATGTATATCGATTAACTGCTTAAATACATATTTAAGACGTTGTACCATGTTTATTAAATTGATTTTAATACGTTTAAGATATACATTAATAAATAGTTTTAAGATATTAAAATAAATTATCAAATAAACGTTTTAGCGTGAGTTATTTTTATTGTTCTGTATATGAGCACACAAGCAACTGTCAAGCTCATTGTTCGTAATTTGTCAGAGCGGAGTGCGCGCTTGTCCAGTCCAGACTCTTAAAACTCAAAGGTCATCGATGATAACGTAATTATGGGATAATTGGTAAATGTAATGACGAAAAATTAACGTCAGAAGGTTCATGTATTCGATCAGGAAATGGAGTCATGTTTTGCGACACACCTCGATTGTAATTTTCGTATTTATTTTTTATTAACTTTATAATTGATATTTTTTTGGAGAAAAAACAAACAGTTGTATGAAGAATAAGGACACTTGTCGATCGATCGATCCGTCAATGAAAGAATTGAACTTACGACCACTTTGAAACCAAAGCTATTATTACTACGCTTTTTCCGATGATTGTGAGATTTCAATAATCTTACTAATAATATAAATGCAAATGTTTGTTGGAAGTTATCTCCAGAACGGCAGTAAGGATCTCGATGAAATTTCGCATATACAAAAAAAGTCTGGATGAACGCATAGGATACTTTATTTTTTTATTTCCGCACAGACGAAGTCGCGGGCGATAGCTAGTTAATTCGTATAATGCTAAAGTTAGGGTGATTGTACAAAAGCCACACGCAACAGCCACAAACAAGAAACGAGCAGTGGCGATTTGTGGCGGCCACTGGCGTTAACCGTGCGCGGGCAAGTTACGGCGTTTTTTTGCCATTCGCGTTTGGCCTATGTGCAAGGACCCATACTTTAGCATTATATTTACACTTCTCGGATTTTGTCGAAGCAAAATATATTATTTGTACGTGAACGCTGAATAAATGTCTACTCATTGATTTAAGTTTAACTAATATGGAATAACTATGGGTATTCGCGGTTACGTCACGCCAGGCAACTTCGTGCCCGGCTCCATATAGTCTGTTAATTTACTATTAAATATTCTCGTCGGATCTGAAACTGTACCTAGACTGAAATACATATTTAATCTGTGATCTTTAAACAGTATAATGTCTTACAAAAGTTATAATTATCTGTTCACAATAGAAAATAAAAAACAATTAATTGAATTTATTTGCTCGGGGGATGATAAATCTATTAATGACACCGCCATCTTCGATATCTATCAAGCTTGGCATAATGGAATGGATTTAAAATATTATGTTAATGCAAAAGCGTAACATCCTGTAAGTAACATACAAGGTATATTTATAACTTATAATACGCGAAACGAAAGCTTTATTTTGAAGAAAATTTTGCGAACGGATAAACGTGCAATATGTAATAGTTGATTCATCATCATCATCAGCTCACTTTACGTCCCCACCGAGGGCCTCGGAGCGTACCCTAAGTTAAGGGCCATGGTCAACCACGCTGGTCAAGTGCGCGTTGGTTGACATCACACATATCTTTGAATTTCTTCTCAGATATGTGCAAAACATATTGGTACATGGCGGCATTCGAACCCAGGACCTGCAGATTGCAAGTCAAGTGCTTAATTGAGCCACATACGTTCGACGCAATAGCTGATCATGAACTTCGAACTGAGATTTGAAGTTTATAAGATCTAATTTTGAACAATCAACTTAATTTCAACCATGAAATCTAAATATTTTTTTTAAGTTTAGTTCTTAAGAATTACTTTTGATCAGTTTAAATTAGTAGTTATCATATCGACGTTATATGAATAGATTTTTTTAATGTTTCAAACCATTTATAAATAGATGAAGGTTAGATGTTTTTGTAACACAACATTGACCCGATGTTTAAACCGTAACAACGATGTTATTTAATATTTAACTGCTTCATAACAATTACACAACAAAATTTGTATTGAACCGCACCTAGTTTGTTAATTGTACATGGAGAACACAGTTTGGAAGAACACATATAGGATGCTAATTATGTTATTTTAATTCTCCACGGACGGAGTCGCGGGCGACAGCTAGTTATAATATAGACCCACAAATGTATTTGACCAGATGACAAACCATGCTATCGCTAACACCGGGTCATATAAGTTTATCGGACTATACCAATTCTTTGACTAATCGATAGTTTTTTAATATAATTGTATTTTTATAAAACGATATAATTTATTACGTCTTACAGTATTTCATGGTTTCCCGTTCCTCTAAAAGGATATAAAATATGAATTATATACGTGACACATTTACAACTTGGGAAAATTAAAAACTCACAACCAGGAAATAATGACACGTTCTTTTGATGACCAGGAAAATGCAACTGCATTTATATAGTCTGTGCAACAAAAAAAACAAGCGTCATAGATTTACATAACAAAAAATCTTAATGGTACAACTTATACGGTTGAATAATAAAGTTTAAATTCTATTACAAGAACAATTTTTTAATGAAAAAAATTCTCCCAACCTGTTTCAAATACTTCCTCGAGGGTAGCAAACATTTACGTAACAACGTGCCATTTAAAAAAAATTAACGAGATCATAACCATGCCATCAAATAATTTTGATTTTCTGTTTATCCGAAACCTAATTCATAGTATTTTTATAGTGCATTATGAATTATTGATGACCAGTAGCTCAGGTTACGATTCACAACTGTGAAACAGATCAGTGAACCGGTTCGCAGATCAGAACGAACTGCGAACTGCGAGTCACTCTAGCATATAGAGAGCCGTGAGCTACCAAGTTGAACCGCAGATCAACGGTTCAAATCTATGTGATCTGAACTTTTGAACCGATTCATCGCCGATTTAAACACGTCTAGAACCTGGAATTAATTTAAGATGTTAGGTCTATCAATACAATATGTAATAAGCATTTATGCAGACATTAATCTTTGTTATAATCAAGCTTTACCTGAATCATAGTCACGATTTAACATTTTAATATGAAATGTCAAATCTTAAATACACGTTGAGGTTATGTTTTTCTAACAATTATCTTACAAACATTTTCTTGTAATCACATTTGATATTTCTAATTTATGGTAAAACTAGCTGGAACCCGCGACTACGTATGCGCGGAAATAAAAAAAAATAATGATTAACCTTAACTATGCCAAATTTCAGTGAGATGCATACAGCGGTTTTAGGGTTACCTTCAAACATACATCCATCCAAACATTTGCATTTAAATTGCCTACCGATTTCTTACTAATATACATGCAAAACTTTGGATGGATGGATGGATGTTTGTTATCAAATAGGTCCAAAACGGCTAGATGAAATTTGACACTTAGATTGTCTGGACTTGCGTAAACACTACTTTTTTAAGGTCTTTTTACCCAGATTGATAGATGCAGTCGTTCTAGAGATACTAACAATCATCTATCTATCCAAAATTCGCATTTATATTACTAACATAATCTGTACGAGTTTTAGCATAAACATTATGTTTTATCTATGGTTAAGGGTTTCGTATAGAAAGTTTCCCGCGCTTTTTTGACACTTCCTTAACAAACCAGTTGTGAAACATCAATGTCAACAGTTTTGAGTAAATACTTTTAAAATCATATTTAATATTATTATATCGATGATGTAATTTATTTCCATGTTCATGATTTTTTTTATGATATAAAAAAATATTTCTTAAGAACATACATATTACTGTAACCTTCGTAAATATTTTACTTTAGGTTTACTATATTTTTTAATTTATTTTATTCACAAAAATAAATCATAAAAGTTTTATGATTTATTTTGACGATGACGATACGGTGGCGATCGTCACAAATATTCATGTTAGGCCCACGATTTATTTGCACGCAAAGAATTTACATTTTCTCGAATTATGGCTAAGATTTTTTCTTACTGGTCAGGCTATTTGTCTTGTTTAATTGTTACTATACTATTTTTTTTTTTGCTGCAAATAATGGCTGGTTCACAGATATAAGTTCTAAAATCTAATAATGTAATCAAGAAATATTTTTTATTCCATAAATTAAATTTACTGAAAATTTATTTTATTTATTTATGTGCTCCCACGCTTTAATTTTACACGTCTTGTCATTTAACGCATTGTCGCACATTTTTGCAACTAAAAATTTAAATAAGTGAAGCAAAAAGTTGACGCACTTTTTAATAATAAAAAAGCTTTTGCCAAAAAAAAATAAAAGACAATATTTTATGTCTTTAAATAATTTAAAAAATATATTAATTTTTTTCGTAAAAAATTTACGAAAAATAAATAGAAAAAATACTTAAACCGCGTAATAATGTTAGTTATGCAAATAAAAAAGAAATACTCACAGTTTAAAATAATAATTCACTTTTTAAAAAAATGTCACTGGCACAATATTTAGCTATCACTGTCACAGAAAAAAAAAACCCGCGCGTTCTCTTGGCGCCGATGCAGTATGCACAAAGGCAAAGGCTAGCACTGTCGGCCACTACTGGCAATGCCAATTTATATAGCTCTTGGCCAATAGCGCTTTGTCGAATAAAAACGCACCGATGAATGCTGGCCTTAGATATTTTTTTTAAACATAACTTCAATATATTTAATTTATTTAGTAATTCCATTTCATGATTATTTTTATTTGAAAAACTTTTATATTAATTAATATGAATAAAAGCAAATATTTAACAAAATAACAAGACATTAAAAATTGATTTTAATTAATATATATTTTGAAAATTCATTAATTGTAATAAAAGTAAAATTTATACAATTAACGTCATACGTATACATAAATAAGTAATTATACATTGCATATTAAATAGTTTACATTTTTTTCTATTATATAATTTTTTTTACTTAACATCGAGAATTTTATAGATATTTTAGTACTATATTTAGAACTAGGAATAAAATTAAGCCTCCGGCATTTTACTTCTCAGTCTGCAAACATTTATAAAAATACATTCTTACGGTGTTGTCTACACTAGTGTGTTCTTATGTTCGATTCATTTTGCACTTTCCTCTTAGTGTGGGTTTTTACCAAAATAATTGCATATAGTCGATGGTGCAGTTAGTCAGCGCTTGACTGGATCGCACTGAAATCTACACATCCAGTTTCGATTCCCGCCTTGTACAAATGTTGTTCTATTTTTGAATTTCATATTCATATTTATCCGTTCTTAAGGTGAATGAAAACATCGTGATGCAACCTACAAATAACGACGAAGAAAGTCAAAGATATGAATCAATCAATATGCACTGGGCCAGAGTGGTTTAGTTTGATTTTGGCTTTTTTTATTTCATTATACTGGGATTCGACTGTCCAATGCTGGCCATGTGGACACGTCTACATGTGCTATGAATAATTATGTGTTTTTCTCTTTATTCATTTGCTGTAATTTGTAAATTTTTTTTCTGTATTGATCATGAGTCTGAAATAAAAAAAAAATATATTATACAACTAAAGACATCTACAGAGTCTTGGTCCGTACTCTTTTTTCACGTATTCCTTATACTAAATGAAAACAGAGATTTTTATATTTTGTCTTGCTGTTGCCCGCGACTCCGTCCGAGCGGAATTAAGAAGTAAGATTGTTAACATTATAGCTTAGTCACCCCTTTTTTTCCAGAGATAAATGCTTTATGCATACTCCGCAGTAGTTATGGGGGATTCTCCTCAATAGCGGAGGCATACCCACTAAACCTCTCTGTTCCTCCAACGCATCGGGACGGGGCCACGGGCACGCTTTCGCTCTCGTCCGCGACAGCTTAGTCACCCCTAACTTGGGAAATGGCAAGATCGTGCGCTAGTGTAAGCAAAGCTTTATTTCAGTAGTCCTTGGTGCATGTCTTCTGTGAGTTATTTCACCGGTCAAGCTGGCCCATTTAACAGGTGCTACTATGGCGCTCTCTACCACTGTTATATTTTTATCTATACCTTTATTTAAAATGTGGACACAATATTAATAGGCAATACAGATTCATTTGCACCTGATAAACTACAAAATTGATTTAAAAAATCTCTTACAATTACTTTTTTTCTTTCGAATAGAAAATTGTTTCGTCAATTAAACGGTCTTTTATGTCTTCTCTCTCTGTCTAAACTATACTCTGTCTCTTTTCACCTTCAATAAAACTATATTCAAGTTACTGCAGTAATTTTTCATATTCAAAAGCTTATTATAAAAAAGATCGTAACAACTAGACAACGACATCCACTTAAGTGTAATGTTGAAATATAAAAACTGTTTGGTTGCATTGTATATATCGCCTTGAGACTTGAGATGGTTCGTTAGTTTGACTTTGTCAATCTTACTATTATTATAAATGCGAAAGTTTAGATAGATGGATGTTTGTTTGAAGATATCTCCAGAACGGCTGAACGGATCTCTACCAAATTTCGGGCATATAACATAGTCCGGAACAACACATAGGCAACAACAGTGGTAGAGCCCGCTTTAACATCTTCGCGCGAATTGGCCCGGCTCACCCGGTGAAATGCCACGACAACACGGAAGACCTGCGTAAAGTGAAAATCCGCGTTTCGTCTGATAAGAGTGCGTCCCGGAGGCCTAATTTAGTCCTCTTCCCCTTCCCACCCTTTTTCTTATAAAGAAAGGATGGGAAGTGGAAGTGGACTTTCCGGATGAGAGGATGCATGCGACGGGAAAATATTTTCTTTCTGTGCATCCTCTCCTCCGTCGATTAAAGGTAGGCAACGCATATGCAATTGCGTATATCTATGGGCAACGGTCACTTCGCTATTTCAGCGATTTCAGGTGGCCGCTCGCTCGTTTGCCACCTTATGATATAAACAAAAAAAAAATAGGCTCTTTATTTAATTCTGCGGGGTCGCGGGCGACAGCTAGTTTTTTATAAGAGAGTCGTGGCAACTGATAAGTTTTTCGTTTGTATAAGAATATCTGCTGTAAAATGCATAATAACATATACACGCGTTAGCTTAATATGACATTTATATGTTTTTTCTCAGACACGCGGGCTTCCTCGCGACTATTCATCATGTACTATCTAGCACGTGGCATGACGTCTGTTAACGCATAATAATACAGTTCATAAATATTCAAATAAAATATTTTAATACATATAATGTCGCTAACACTTTGTAAATCACGCAATTCTATAAAGTGACTGACTAGACCCAGCGACACTCAGTGGATGCCTAAATTTTTTTCTACAAATCACAAATCAGCAAATTTTCAATACGTGATTTTATTATAATTACCAACCAATCTAGATGTACTCTTCTGTTTTTACTTTCGGCATAATTTAATTCCAACTTAACAAAAACAATCGTTAACTTTATTTTCAAACTATATTACTATTTGGGTCTCTACGTTTTTAATCCTAGATAATATATTCGGTATTTGACTGAACAGAATTGTTTTATATGTCTAGACATTTTATATAATGACGTTATCCATTTCATAACTACAACATACATTAAACTTACCATTCTACGGAAGTTCTAGAATCTAAAACCAGAATGAATTTTTGTGTAGGCCATTGAATTATATTTTTAAATCGTATATATGCATAATAGTTAAAAAATGATATGTCTACATCAAAGTAATTTAAACAAGGTTCTATAAATATATAATATATATTTATAGAACCTTATAGAAACTTAATAATCTACAGAGTTATAAAAAACCAGAAGTGAATAAAAATATTTTATTGTTTATTCCGATTAAACTCAAACACTACTCATCCCATTCTATTTACAAACTTCAAAACTTATTCTTAAACTACACGTACCCATTGTCTTACTAAAGATTACTACTAGCGCCTACGGAGACAATTCTTCGCACCTCTTTTTACCGTACCTTTGGTGGATGTAAGACAGTAATACACAGATCTGTGACGCCCCTTTCTATCTAGCGCCCTGGGCGATCTCCCTACTGCGCACTACTCTAACGCAGGTATGCTTTAATAACTAACATTTGCCCGAGACACCGTCCGAGCGGAAAAAACAAACTCGGTAAGTAGTCTATATGTTCTTCCAGACTATGTTCAACATCTATGCCAATCGTCAGGATCAGGTGAGCTGGAGATACCTTGTAAAAAACATCAATGCATCTAAACTTTCGCTTTTATAATAATAAGTAAAAGTAATAATTTTGTCCGAGTTAAGGAAGCAAAGGTGGGATGTTAATAAATTGCGAATAAACATTCTCTATAAATATACCTAACCATCTTAAATGTACTCGAAATAAATTATTATAGTTTAACCAAAATCTGTCTGTTTGTTTGCAAAGTATAGGTGACAAATGATATTGATTGTTCAAAATTGTGCGGGATTTATGAACGACGATGACTACTTTGTATGGGTTACTCATAACGTCACACGGTGGTCAACGTAATTAAATATATTGATAAAGTAGGGGAGTCCCGCAGTTTCCTCCTGGACTAATTGCATTCAAGGTTGCATCTGTGTCTTTCCATACTAGTAATTCTCCATTAATCATAGTTCTGGATACTAGGATCAACGGATTTAGCACTTTATTCACTTTATTTTAAAGCTGATTTTTATCAAAATAGTCGGCAGGTTTATTTTAATATCAAAGGGCGTTAACCTTTTCAATGTTTACTTTTGAAAAAAAATCAATTTTCATGTTTAAATTAAAAACTTTATTAATTATAGAGCGGACATTAGAAAAATATCAATATTTTACAATATTATATAATATTATAAATGTAAATGTGTGGAAGGATGGATGGATGTTTGTTAGAAGGTATCTCCATAACGACTGTACGGATCTCGTTGAATTTGGAACAAATGTAGAACATAGTCTGGAAGAACACATGCTACTAATTTTATAATCCCGTGCGGTCGGAATCGCGGGCTACTTTTAGTATAAAAATAAATTTATAGTCTTGTTCACGATGCTATGAATATAAATTGTTATGTTATTAATTGATGTTAATAAACAAATTATAATATATAACGACATATACCTTGGTAGTGGTTGTGAACATATCTTACTAATATTATAAATGCGAATGTTCAGATGGATGGATGTTTGTTTGAAGGTATCCAAAATGGCTGAACTGATGTCGATGAAATTTGGCATAGATATAGAACATAGTCTGGAAGAACACATAGGCTACTAATGTAAACTCTATTGACAATGTTTTCAAGACAGGACTGTTCAAATTACTCGCGAAGCCTAGAAGAATTTTAGCGAACTTGTCGAAACAAGTCAGCCACGGGCTGCCAGAAGGTCATGAATTAATATGACATATCAAAAAAAAACTTTAAACAAACATTTTGAAAGAATAAGGTTTGCAATAAACTATCAGAATAAAGTCGATTTGAATTTCTATCTAAGCCTATTTACTTGCGCGCAAATATTTCTAACTTCAAGTATCCATTAGACATTTTTTACTCTAATTATCTTTTTGCTCGAGATATATTCTTGTCAGTACGTCAACTCTCATATACTTACTAA